CACTGTGAGCACTGAAATATCTTTCAACAATGTTCGTAGCATAGCATAAAAGAGAATATGAGTGGATATCATCAAGCACTACTTCAGCATAGTCTGTTGTGCATGCGGCCAAACACCTGACAAATCAAAAACGGCAAGCTGAGTTGCAGCATCAGCTCAATCATTTTCCTTGGTTTGAGTTTAAGACTTAAGGCATTTTTCACTGTTGCTCAGTTCACACTTTAACTGCACAAATCGCATAATTACAGATTGTGGATCCGCGCATAGGAGCTCTGACACACCTTTTCAGCCATCAATTGAAACGTTCGGGAGCCAAACCAGATTTCAATGATAGATTGTAGCCACATTTGCACTGGCATTTGGATGCAGTCAGGATTCTCAAATGTCATAGCCTCACCCTGACGTTCTAAATCTTCGTAGATCATCTCCAACATTTCTCCCAGGATTACAACATCCACCTTCACGCTCGACAGGATACCAGCTATCTGCCAGGGTGTTTGGAAAGCGAGCAAAGGACATCTAGCCTTAACTTTCGGAAAACTTCAATTGACGATTTCAATAAAAGAACAAAAGAGAACGGTAAAGAAATACGGTTGAACATGGTCGAACGTAATCTTAGCATCAGTTTAACATCATTGAACCAACATTTGCATCTTTCAGAACCTCCGGATCTGTCAAATATTGCTGGAAGCTGTGAAGCGATATGTCTCCTTCTGGGCTATGTCCCAGAGACTCCTGGTAAAGAAAAGGCGTAATTCGACAGCATGGCAACTTCGAACCAGCTTTCAGAGGCAACTTGTAACCTGGTTATCTTTGCACACAAGTTTACCCACAACAGTGATCACTTCGGGTAGTTTCATCCGCAATCTTTCTCCAAGATTCCATTTTGGCTCTCACGCTGCCAGCAACATAGCTGATTGCCAAACCTTCCTTTTGTGAGCTTGCGATTGCTCCAACAGCTTCCACCAAGCATCCTCAGCAACTTTGACAAACAATTGCATAAACAAAAACGCATGTCATAGCACTTGCCCAAACAATGCGTCGATACAAAGAAGACATTACAGTATCTGAATGCAGCCCAAGCTGCCAACGAGCATATACAGAACTGTGATGGCAACCAGCAAAATGTATGCAAGGCCCACAACCCAAAGAATTGCACTCTCAGAACCCAAAGACTTCATCAATGGCGCATAGTCTGCAAGAAGGCCATCAAGCAATAGAGTGTTCATGGCTGAGGGAACTGAAGGAAACAGGCTTGTGCCGACCTCAAATGCAGGGAGTTGGCTCGCTGCACTACACCAACAGCTATAGCATCTGAGAGTATCTTGTACTGCATCAGCCTTCCTTGTGCAAACTGCAAAGTAAAGTCACATTAAGCAAGCTTGAAGGAAACATGAACAGAATCCCACATAGAAGTTCAAAAAAGCAGCTGTTGAAGAGTCCGTTGCTTGTCGTAGCACGACTGCAAATATATAGATGATCACCTCGAACTCCCATGCAACTCATCCGGCATCCATTTACTTTGTGATTGCGCACTGATCCAAAATGAACAGAACTAGTCGAACAACGCTGCAATGTATCTTTCAAGATCAACAAGTCGTTCCTTTCCAAGTGTTCGGCCAGCCAAACAAGGAAGAAGACCAGCACCGATCTCGCTGCAAAGCCCATGGCCTCTGGTCTTCGACGTTCTTCCACGTTTGAGCCGAACCCACAATTGACAAACCATCAGGACCCAGCGCCGCCCAGCGCCCCAAAACAGATCTAAAAAGTACCACAGCCTTCAGAATGATGACCAGTTCGGGCACTGAACGGATAAACCTCATGAAGCGCAAGATGGCAGCAATCCTTTCACATGCTTCAACCTCTAAGAGTGCTGCCTTGATATTCTGGACAAACGAAGTAGCTTCACCATACCTCAGCACGTATCTATATTTGTGAAAGTAAAATGAGGCTCGCTGCCCGCTGCCCTTCTGGTCCAGTGTTTCCCTGAACCATTGGTCAACAAGCAAGAGGGCCCAAGGTGGAAGATCTTTGGGGGCCACGTGCGCCAAGCAGCGCATCATTCGAAGGAATGAGATATTCAAGACATCTGCCGCATCTGTTCCAGCTGCAATAATAATGATGGGAACCAACCAAGTTTCCACCACCATGTTGGCCACGAGGACAGAATCGAAAAGAAACCAAACATCCATAAGAGCTCTGCGCTTGTGAGCGAAGGCACCAAATCGTATCATGATCTCGAGGAAAAAGTAGGTGCAAAATGAGTGTTCCACAACTTGAAAAACTGTGTCCTCGCAACGAATCACCGGGCTTCCAAATAAAAATCGTAAAAACATGTAACAACCAATTGAAACTATGCGATTGAGTTTAGTGGTATCAATCTAGTAAACAAATGCTCTGGCAGTGCCGAGATTCAGCTTGTGTCAAAACAGCACTGGTATTGTAGTCAATGTCAACCGCGATCCATATTGCATTAAGTGCAACCACACAAACAGTGAGATTGTCAAAAACAAAGTGACGAGCAATGGCCTGACACACGCCAGTTGTATGGTAGTAGTCAAAAACATTGTACTGTGGACGCAGCAAGGCCTTCCTAGCTCTCTCCTTGAAAGCATCTTTGTCTTGCAGCCCAGGGCGCAACTGCGCTACAGGTTGCACCACCTTTGTCTTTGCTGCTGGCAGTGTCTTCTTCTTGTGGTGCGGCTTGTGCGCTTGATGGTCCAGATCTGTCTGAACATGTTCGTCCCGTCTAGAATTTTCGGTTTGGGCTGACACCTCGCGAACCCTCTTTGACCTTTTCACTCTGGAAGCAATATGGAGATCTTCACAAATCACCACCTCCTCCTCAGCAAACGTGACGCCTTCTATCATCACCTTGCTCCCTCTGGAAGCCGATTCGCTTGGTGAGGGAGAAGGACATGAGGGAGAAGGACATGTTCCCTCCGTGGTTGGTGCTCCTTCTGCTGGAACTGCAGTTGACTCCTGTACACTCAGCCCAGTGACCTGACCTACAGCGGCTATTTCAACATAATCAATCTGCAGGTGCTTTTGCACTTTGGTGATTTCATTCATCAGCATCCGAAAGTCCTCCTCGAAGATCATGATGGTCTTCCGGATTTCTGTTGAGATCAGTGACAAATCAATTTGAGGGGGTTTGGCATTTTCCAATTCTCTCAAAACCTCCGAAACATCATGAGTGCCCATGTGCATCTGCCGCATCTGTTGCATCAAGTTCATTGCTTGGGCATCGAGCATTTGTTGTAGATCGATCTTCCCAGCCAGGTTCTGCATGCACTGGTCCATATCACTCTTCTTGTTGACTTTGTTAAGTTGATCGGACATTTTTGCAAGCTGGTCATGAATCTGCAAAATCTGCTCTTCTCTCCTCAGGACCAGCCGGCGATTCGCTTCGTTCTGCTCACGTGATCGTGCGTCCGGAGACTGTGAGCGCTTGGCACCGTCGATTCTCTCGACTGAATAGAGTTTCTCATTAATCGACTCAAGTTTCGCAGCCAAGGTCAAATGGTGGTGTTCGACCATGTCCGCTACCTCGGACTTCATGTCGGCTACTTCTGACTTGATGTAGTTCACCGTTTGTTGCATCTCAGATTTCACCTTTGTCAAGATTTCATCTCCCATGAAACCTAAACCTTGACGGCAAAACTCCAGAGCATCTGCGTAGGAGGATTCCTTCCCACGGATGAATGCCTGCACATTAGCGTTCCGGCGTGGAGGCGCCTCATCAGGTCTGACATAGGCACGCGTGAGGACCGTTAGGACTGGCCTAGTAGCGTCTTCTTGTTACTAGTATGGCCAGGAGTGCCCCTAGTAGCGTCCTTGCTCCTAGTAGCGATGCCCTTTGTTACTAGTAGCTCTATTGTCTAATTGTCTCTTTATTTGCCTTTGGGCCGTTCCCTCTCTTCAGTGCTCGTCTTCTTTTGCCTTCGCTAAACGAGTTTGCAACCAAGCAACTCTCTCAAGGTAGGACACATTCAGAGAATCGCTGGCCATTGGCGGCACAGAGTGATGCATGATGGACCAAGGGAGTGGAACCACCGGGTGAGGAAATTTGGAAAGCCCTTGCTTCTATCAAGTCCTCGCAAAAATAAACATGCACTTTCACCTGTTTGGTAATTATGTATTACTCCGTGTATTCTTGCGGCCACTAGTACGACTTAGTACGTAGTTGCCCTCTCTTGTTGAGCCAAGACAGGAACGATGCAGAATCCTTGTGGTTGCTGAACACACCAAGAGTTGAAATCGTTTGCGCCACCAAATCATTATTAATTACTGCATATAATGTGATCTTCTTCCACCGACTTTCGGATCGATTACTACCGTGTGCTCTCACATCACTCAATACTGCCCTGGCCGAAGCAAATACGATTTCCAAGTTGCAACTGCTGACATAAACTTCACACTTCCAAATGGCGAGTGCCACCGTAGCTTGTCAGGTTTATCTAATTGTCGTCGCAATGCCAGAGGACTGCATGTTGCATGGACTGAAAAGCTGGATTGATGACGCCTTCTGCGGCTGTGACCATTGGCTTCTCATATGCCCAAACTAGTTGAACCTCCAGTCCCTCGGCTCTTTCCGAAGTGCAAGATTTGCCTGTATCACCTAGGGCCTAGGACATTTTTTGACCTGGCATCACCCCGAGGTTGTTCCGGCAGATCGGGATCTCTCAACTCTCAACGGCACACAAAGTGTTTCCAGGCCAGCAAGTGGCCAAGACAGGTAACCCCACCAGCCACAAATCCACGCCTCGTGGCTGAATCAGTTTACAAATGTACAAGCCCTCGATGAGTGACCAAAATCATTTTTGCTCTCGCTGCGGGCAAAATCTCATGGCTTTGGACTGCCACGTTTTGGTGGCATGGTCGGCATTCTAGGCGATGACATTCGTTCTTTGGCAGTGCAGGATTTAGGGATGGAAATGCCAGCAACTCTAAAATCAACAAATACTTGGCATTGCCCGCCATTCATATAATTTGAGGTGTTGGCAATTGGCCTCTCTCCGTTTCACTGCCCGATCTATGCATCAGAGAAGATGACATTGCATAAGCATTGCTTGGATCCTCTTTGATCTAGCAAAGGTTTGTCTGAGCTAGGCTTCTAGACTGTGATCACTAGGCTTCTCAGCTCAGTATTGTGGAGGCGGCATGCCCATCTGTCCAGGCCGAATCATTCCTGGAAGTGCAAGCATTCAAAAGAATGGATGCCTCATCGTGATTCCAAGTTACATTGTAATTTACAGTATCATTTTGGGATCTTTAGTCTCCTGTGTTTTGAGGCATCAAGCCTCCTGTGCTCTTTGGCATGTTCTGCATGCCCATACCTCACAGTGCAATTCTTCCTGACGGCAAGTGTAAGATGGAAGGAATGTCATGCCTTGCTAATGGCAATTAAGGTCCATACCACAGCCGCCCATACCTTTGCCGCCAAGCCTCAGGTAGTGCAAAGTCAATTAACTTAACGACAAGTCGTGAATGCGCACATGTCAAAGGTCAGCCGCAGGAAATGTCACTCTCCTCTACAGCAGGACAGTAGGAACCAAATGAATAGTGCGAGCGAGTCTTCAAGCAAGCTCCCCCCAGCCCTCGGGGGGGGGGAGTTTCCTTGAAGACGCGTGAGCTATCCAGTAGGCACCTGCATAATATTAAGCGCGAACTTTAAAAAGAAAAATACCACTTACAGAAAAATCATGCTACTATGTCTACCTGCAAAAAATCATGGAGCGAATCTTTCGCAGAAAGGCTCTGGCCCCATTCCCATGGGAGGGGCGCCTGGCGGGCCCATACCTTTGCCCATGCCACCTGGCGATCGGTCTGCATACCTTGCAGTCCTCAGTTGCTCCAAACGCGCCTGGGCCAGGCATAGGTCCCATGCCGCCTTTGCCCATGCCCGGACCCATTCCACCTCGGATGTATCGAAATAGTCATTCATGTCACGTCTCAAAAAGCAAAAAACAAAAAGGAAATGTAACTGTTGGTCCCGACTGTGGCAACTGTTGATCAATACTTTCCATTTTGGTCCAACGTGGTGACTGAGTCTGTGAGTTTAGTCCCAAAGGTGAACAGTGAACAGTAGAAACTCTTGACACGATATTGAAAAAAAAGGAAATAGGTGCATATAGTTGCTCAAAGCAGAAACAGCAGCAAGAAGCAGAAACTCGTTGGAAGCACAAAAGACTTCGGATCATTTCGACAATGAGCGTTGGAAGCAATCGGTAGTCGGTTGGAGGCCATCGCTACTAGGGTGGAGGCCACCGCTATTAGGTTAGAGGCCATCGCTACTAGGGTGGAGGATATCGCTTTTAGGTTGGAGGGGATCGGTCTTAGCTTGGAGGCCATCGCTACTAGCTTGGAGGCCATCGCTATTTGGTTGGAGGCCATTGCTAAGAGGTTGGAGGCCATCGCTAAGAGGTTGGAGGCCATCGCTATTAGGTTGGAGGCCATCCCTATTAGGTTGGAGGCCATCGCTAGTGGAGGATCGCTATTAGGCCATCGCTATGAGTAGGTAGGAGGCCATCGCTATTAGGTCGGAGGCCATCGCTCCTGCAATTAAAGGCCATCGCTATTAGGTTGGAGGCCATCGCTACTGGGGTGGAGGCCATCGCCATTGGGTTCTTTATGTGTGTTTCTTAAAGTCTTTTTTCTATGTGATTCCAACTGAGCTTCCGGCCCATCCCAGGTCCCGGACCCATGCCCATACCGGGACCCATACCCATACCTCCAGGCGGAGGTCCCATGCCCATACCTCCCATACCCAATCCTTTGCCGCCACCTGAGCCAGTGCCAAGATGGGTCTACACAAGCTACAAAACCTTGCCATCTCTTGCCTCCCATGCCACCTTTGCCACCAAGTCCACCAATTGGCTGCATGCCACCCCTGCACAAGTTGGGAGTCAAACAAAGCACTAGCAGTATGGCTGCGTGGCTGCTGAAAGTGCTTCAAATCTTTGACAGTGACATGCAAGGCACAGGTGGGTTTCCACACGCATGAGCCTGTTATCAGAACAAAAGCATCCAGATGATTCTGCGATCGCAAAAAGGTTTGGCACTGAGGTGCTTCCTCCCGGTACGCGTTTGGAGTGCCATTCATTTCCTGAGGCTTCCACAAGCCAGGCTGGTAGCCAGGTCCCATGGCCGGAGCCTGACTTCAGATCTCTACACAAATGTGGATGAAGAATCTCGAGAACTTCGAGCACATCCTAAATATGTGCAGTGCAAGTGCACAGGCGTCCATTCATTTGGTTGGATACCAATCAAAGCAAAAACGTTCTGACATGATATATATATATATATGGCCGCAGTGGTACACCCAGAGTATATCCGAATTGTAAACAATATAGTAAGTAAACGTTTCGCCACAAAAAGACCAGCAATACTCGTGCAACTTGATATCCAAGAACGTTGCAATAATGAAACCAATTCTTATCCGCAATAATATATCCTGTAAAACAGAGGCAATAACAAAATGTATCTTTCTAGCAAAAGCTCAACAAATACTTACAAGCACTGTCTTTTCATGTCCCTTTCATCTCCTTTCACCTGCCTTTTGATTCTTTCCAATTGTAACGTCGAACCGTATTGTTGCTGGAGTGTTTTTGTTGCCAAAAAAGTTTCTAGGGGTCACAATTTTGTCAGCTGCTGCGATTTGATCTGACTCGGCCTGGTTGTCTTTGATCCAGTTCTGCACATGGGCCTTGTTGCAGCCGACTTGGGGCAAAGCGATGCACATGCTTTCTGCACCTTGGCACGCTCTCGAGCAGCAGGATCTGCTGCTGTAATGACCACTGCCTTTCCACCTCCTGAGCGGGTCAGGACAGTGCGATTCAAATGGATTGACGCTACAGCAACACCGAGATCCCAATTAGTCGTTGATTGTTCCAGCATGTTCCAGCATGTTTGTTCCTTGCTCTTTGCTTTGTCCAGACCCAGGATGAGCCTGGCTGCACCACCGAGTCCATGTTGATCTGGGCCCCCGTGTCTGCGGCCATCTTCTTGATGGTGGCACCCGCTGGGCCTCCGGGTTGGACGTTCACATGGACAGGTGCAACACGTCGCTTCCGCGTGCGTGCGATGTGGAATAAATATGAGTGGGGCAAAGCATTTCAAAAGGAACCGCTTTAGATGAATTCAATTAAGCGCAATGACGCACGCTTTGCTAAAATACAAGCCGCACCGTTTCCAACTCCATGGTTGTCAGGCCTATGATCTTGCCAACTAAATGACCCGGCACAATGATGGTCTTGTCAACCTGAGAACAAGTGTTCACTTAAGCAAACATTCAGGATGAGCAGTGCTTAAGATCCATGCATTGCTTGTCCCAGCTCCTGCAATTGTCTGAGAGGACATGAAAGTGAATTTATATCAAGAATATCCAATACGTCTATCATGCTGCAGTTCGCGACAGCTCAAAGGAAGGTAAGCTCAAACATAGTCGATGTTGCCATCAAACAAAATGGGCCAAGCTGTTCCAACCAACAAAGAGCATATAACAAGGTGGTAGCTTGCAAGTGACCTGGTGCGGAGTCCATGGTCACCAGGGTCTGCAAGGCAAATTGTGTCGAAATAGAAGCACACGAAATGTGAAAAAACTTTACGAAAGCCACAAGTTTCACAAGGTGCAGCACCTGACCACCGGATGGCTGCCCACCAGCCTGCTGAAGGCTTCACAAGGCGTTGCCCAAGTGTGGCTGCCGGACTCAAGGACTTACCGAGTCGTTGACTCGTGTCACTTGACTCATGGACACAGCTCGACGCTTTTCCTTTGACGCAGGCGTGTGCAGTCTCACAGTACAGGTGTACTGTCCTCCGACGGCACAATTTGTCGATGCCTTCAAAAGATATGAAGCATGATGAAGCATGGATGTTGGCTGTTCCTCTGGCTGCACCACTAGCCTGATTGGTTTGGATTGGTGCATTTGCGAACACATTTGATCAACCGGGCCACGGCCAGTGTCGTCTGACAGAATTGGCCAAGCACTTGACCCGAGCTGCAAGAGCTCTCAGCAGCTTGTTGCGTGCAGGTGTCGAATTAAACCAATGGGGCCATGAAAAGTGTGGAGATGCACATAAGCCATTGGAATCATATTATGACTGTTTGTAGCAACTCAGAGTTGGCCAACATGGTCTTCGCATTGAAGAAGATGCATTGGCATTCAGCTGAAGAATGAACTTTGCCAACAAACAAAGGTCTTGCAAGGGGGTTAGCAGTAGCAAATGTAAAAACAGTAAGACGAACAATACAACAAAAGGATGAAAAAGGAGGAGCGACGAGGGCGGCATGAGTCCATCCTTCTTGCTGTGATGTGGTGCAAGGCATTGAAGATTGTTTCAAGCCTCACTCGTGCATGTAGAGCTATCCAATTAATAATCATACTTTGAATCATACTGCACATCTTGGATCAAAGATGCTCAATCCAGGGCACACACGAAACGGAAGAACAAAAACTGCAAAAACATGAATGGAAGATCTGAAGCTACAAAGCCTGAACTTTGCACAAATGTCGTGCCCTGGCGACCTGTAGACGTGGACATACGTGGACGCTCGTCACGTCAGCAGCTCTCTTCAGAGCCACAAACGGAAATCGGTGTGGAACTCACACGAAGCCTGGAGGTGAGAACTTGCAAACTGGACCCCCAGGAGCCTGGCTGGTTCGAGCCGATGCCAGGCCCGGTGCAGGGCCGGTCCCGATCTTCCGGTGAAGCGGAGATTGCATGTCGTTCTTGTCTCCAAAGCCCAGGCCAAAAGCCTGCAGGAACGCACCAATTACATGTGAAACGCAGGACTTTTTGAGAGTCGTTCTTTGCAACGCAGGACGCGGTCACAGATATCGAGGTCAAAAGTCGTTGTTAATTGATGCTCTCTGGATCTGAAACAGATTCGAGCCCCTAACCGACCGCCGGAACGCAGTTCGTCTTCAAAGACGCCTAAACTGGACATGACCTATACAAATGGGTAGGCATGGTGCTCATTTCAGCCTTGTGCTTCTGGCTCAACATGTTCTGGCTCCAGATTTGCTCCGGTTGCCTCAGAGATTGCTTGCAAGTCTGCGCCCAAAATTGTTCCCTTGATAGAAACTTTCCATGGATTCACGTTGCACCAACCACTTGGGGTGTGCGTGACAATCGTGACACCTCTTGTCGAATGTTGAAGCAAAAACAGACAAGCTACAGGCACTGGCGTGAGAAGAGTTCAGAAGGCTGAAACTAGATGGCCGCACACAGGGCCAGTAGGGCCCTTCGGTTTGGTAATTAAAGGTTTTCAGTTCGTTCAAGGTTTTGTTTGAACATCTGATCGTGATAAAAAGTGGATGAGGAGGTCAGGTGTTGAAAGAGCTGCACATGGTGAAAACATCAAAAAGAACAGAAGGGTCGCCTATGGGATGCGCTTACAATGACAAGAGGATTCGATGAGCAACATCGCAAGATGAGCCCGAAACATCCCGACCTGGCTGTTCATGTCCTTGCGGTTTGATGGCTTTCCGGCATGTGATTCTTGCTGACCAAGTTGCTTCACTTAGCTGTGTTGGCTCAGCATTTGATTCGTCACTGTCAGCTCGGACAGGAGTCATGCCTGCTCGACCTGAAAGCAGGCTCCAAATCAAAATGTCTATCTATCTCGGAGCCGGACTTCACGCAAAAAGTTTTAATATGTTTTTATATTGAAGAAAATAAGAATGCCTATTCTGATATCTCCCAATGTTGATTCCTTCGCAAATCATGAACCAATCTGCAAAGGTAGAATAAGATCATAAAATCTCATGGCCATCTCCAATATCTGTACTTTCTATGATGACAAAGCTCAAACGGAAAATACAAGCGAATGCTGATCCGGCCTAGTCTGGAAGTGATGTCTGGTGTCCAGTCTGCAGCCATAGTAACAATCCTGGGTGAGCAAATTCCCCAGACCTTCCTACTTTCACATTACAAAGAAACCCTCGACAAAAACATGCACGACCACTTGAAGACGACTTCGCTTAGCTCGACAAGGCTCCCGGCATCTGCTGAGCTGTAGGTATCATCACTGTCTCCACTTGGTCGCGAAGATCGAGGTACCACAGGCATGACTGGCAAGGGAGCTGTGATCTTTGGTCCTATTGTCCTTTCATTCCTTTCATTTCCGATTGGATCCTCTCGATCCTCTGCAATCATCTCCAAGTTTGGCATTGGGCTCAAAGGGCTTGTTGGCGCTGGTGAAGGTGAAGGTGATTTCGCAGGAAGTGTTCGGCCGCTTGGTGGAGATCTCACATGTGGAGAGAAAGAACTCAAAAATGTGGGGCCAGCCGGGCTGGCCATTGGTGTCTGTGTTTGGCACTCTTCCCTAACCTCTTCTCTCACCTCGACTGGCAAGAGCCAATCCGACCGCAAACAAATCCAAACAATTGCAGATATGACCAGTGGCAGGACAACAAGCATAATGCATACAGTAAACGAGGGTGAGGAATCCCATAGAACTGTCAGCGCAAAAATCCCAGCCAGAATGGCTGGAATTCCAACAACAGCAATACTCACGAAGACCAGAAATTCATGACAAGCAGTTGCGCAAATCAAGCTGCAATGGCATGCTAGCCTTCTCATGAAAGGCAAGGCTGTAATGAGGATAGCAAGGATACTGCAAAACAGCTGTACCCAGGCCAGCTGAACGACACCCCTCGAAAAAGGTTGTTGCGTCGCACCCTTTGCAATCATCGCCAAGGATTCTCCAACTTGGGCTGCCATGACCCAGCACATCATCTTGGAAGCTGGCAGCATGCCAACTCCGGCCAGAGGTGTCAAAATGCAAGCTACAAAGACGCTATCGTGCATCAGGAGTAGAGTGAACACAATAATGCCGAAGCAGGCTAGGACATCTGGCACTGCTATGGCCTTTTCTAGAAGCACATAGCACCTGCTGACTCTGCCACCAGCGCTAGAATGAGCAAGGTCTCGGAGCAGAAATTGGCACGCTGCATACAGGAATACCGTTCCTGTAATGAGTCCACACAGAACACCTCCGACTTCGATGATTCCTTGCTCCACAACTTGCCTCCAGAATGTCTCTCCCGAGCGAATACACCAAGGATGCTCTTCGCTGCATGAGTAGTGCGTGTTGTTGGCTGCTGTGTTGAGCACATCACATTGTTGCAAGTCGTAGAACGTTGCATCAACAGCGCGCCATACGTCGTGCAACCGATTTGATAGGCATGAGTAGGCACAGCCACCATCCCTCGGACACCCGGCAGCTCCAGCCTCAAGGATGTGTTGGGCTGGTGGCCCAAGAATGTATGCCTTCAGGCGCCAATCATTGATCCTCACCAAGAGATTTGACAAGGGCTGCACCACCCAAGTGGCTGGATTCACATAGTGAAAGTTGATGGAAGCCATGGATTGCACCATCTGACTCGTGAAGCCAAGTAGTTGTCCTCGACTTAGGATCTCGGCCGGCACCAGAAGCAGCCCAGATGCTGCAAGGGTCATCAGCTTCAAAAACTGAAAGGAAGCAATGCCCCACACAGCTCTGGTGAGATGCAGGCGGCAGCCAGGCATCATGGCCACCAACACCGGCAGGCCACTGGCACCAACGCTCGTGCCGATTGCAAAGAGAATGCCACTTTGCACTTCCACCTGATCTGAAACCATCTCCCCTGCAATATCAAGACTTTGCGATGATGACTGCAAGAGCACTGTGCTCAAAGCTCCAATAAGGAATGCCACGACATTCCCATCCCGATGGGCTCTTAGCATTTCCACCACTGCCTTGATGCTCATCCCGAGCAAGCATCTATTGAGGAGTGCTAGGGACAGTAGAAAGACCCACGAGCTCCCTAAGACTCGCAGTCCGCGGCATGCAGACAAAGCGTTGCGGGCCTCAAATGACGAAAAGGAAATCACAACTGAATTCCTGAAATCTTGACGACTGTCAAACAATTTTTTTTCTTTTGTACTGTATGATCAGCTGGCTCCAGGTTCACTACACTTGCAAAGAGGCTATTGCACAACCTATATTGAGCACACCAGTGTTTCATCCTCTCAACAATGTTGGAATGCCCTTTTACTCTCAGAAAAGCCCAACTGTCTTGTTCCTTATTGTTAGTTCAGAAACAAGTGAACCCCATGGACCTGGAATATTACTATGTTCTGAATGAACAATGAAAGGCACCTTAGCATCAAGCAAGTTGGCCATGTGCCGCGCGCTCACATCGGGCCGGCGCAGATTAGGCAGCCAAATGCCCCTTTGAGAGGCTGGACCCATGGCGAGTCACCACGTCATTCACCCAGTCATCGTATCATAAGGAAACTGCGCCAAGCTGCGCAGCCTCTCTTTTTGATCCCAAGCTGGGCCGCGAAATGATGAACATGTTGGATATAGAGGTTACAATGGCATGACCGAAACATTGGACGCAGCAATCGAAACATTGCACTCTTGGCGTACCTTGGACGCGTTTTGTTTGCGCAGTGTGCGTCAGAAAGACACGCCTGAGCTTGGCCTCCTAAACCACCCATGTCATTCATCATGTCATTAAAGTCCTGCGGCCACACTTGAAATCTTTTTTCGGGTTCAGGCTACGTACAATGCAAGTACAAGTTGCAGAAGGCAAAAGACAAGCGAAACCAGTGACAACATATGATTCATATGGCGTGAACCTTCCAAAAGAAAAGCAGCTTCACATGCTATCACAAACCTTGTTTGCCTCAAATATCCCAACTACATTCCCACAACAATCTCCGAGAATCTCCTTGTCCATTTGGGCCTTCTTCTCGGCCATGGCCTGGGAGAACATGGTAAAACTGAGCTCCGCATAGCTCCGCTTGGGGCGAAAAAGAATTCGATGCTAGGTGCTCGCCGTGCTTGCCTTCCAATCAACGTTCTCTCTTTTGTTGATTTCAGCCGCCTTTTTACAGTCTGACCTCGAGAAGCAAGGCGAACGGCAATCCTTGTCTTGAATACCATGCAAGTAAGCGCATTGTTAGTGACTACAACTACCAAGAGGAGGACGCCACGTGCCCCTTGTCACCGCAAATGGTACATGTCACCTCAGCATCGCATCAAATGCATTAAAACTCCTCATTCATTCAAAGGGGTCGACATTTTACAAAGCCAATAGATTGATATAGATTGTAGATAATTATTATAGTGTTATGTTGTAGGTACTGCCCTTCCAATGTTGACCCTCACAATCGAAGCAGTTTGTTCCAACGTTCATCGGTGTATTCCACAAAGAGACGGCTTGGGACAGTGCATTCGCCATCTTGTAGTTCTGGTTGTTTGTTTCTGGGCATTCGAATCCTCAAAGTGGTAGCGAGTGCCAAAGAAGATTCAAGCAAGCAAATTGCAAACAGAAAAAGATGGGATGTGTCAAAGCAGCACCCATGTTAATTGCATGCTCGTCCCTACCAGTACCTTGGAGTTAGCCAGTGCGGCTGAGCAGCCCAAGTGACCCAAAGCACCACAAATACCACACCTCTGCTCAGCCTTGTTCAAGGAGAAACCTGGCAGGATAGCAGCTACAAAAGACACGAAGCTCAGCTCCAAACAATCAGGCTCACCGTTCACCATGGCAAGCTGCTGCATACCGTGCGTTCGGGCCTCAAACCGACTACAAATGTCAAGTCGTGCGGTCGCCCAACCCCAAAAGATATGGAACCCAGATTAAAGAAAACATGTCCTTCCTTTGCCATGTACAAAAGCTCGAAAGAGAATTGCATCAAAACAGAATATCAATTGCAATGAAGCGCTGAGGATTTACAATAATAGCAATTCCACACACACCCAGGACTGCTACAATGTATCAGGCTCTGAGGCTAACACATACTCGAATTCTGGACTTTCTGGGTTCAGCAAAGGCTCAACAAGGCGCTCGCAGTGGAGGATCTGCTCCTGACATGGACAAGGGGCATGAGAAAATTGGAGCAGCAAGGCACCAGGCACTGCAATAAGGCACTAGGCACTCTTCATCTCACTTGTTCAGCAACAAGAAATGCACTTGACTCAAGCAATTTTTTGTACACATTGTCCAGACTCAAGCAACGCGGAAAAGCAGTGCATCCTTGTCCGAATGCTTGGAATTGTAAGACGATAATATGAGATCCAGCAGAATTGAGTCTTGCCCAAGCAGCAGGTTCAGAAAAGAGCTGCCTCGCCCATTCTTTCGTGGGCCTTTCACAATCTAAACATCACAGGCTTGGGAGATTGCACCGTCATCATCCATCTTCACCACAAGCTCCTTCGCCTCGCCCTCCTGGCTATTCGATTTAGTCACAGCAACTGCTGGTGGAAGATGTGCAGTTTCTTTGGTCTCCAATCTCGGGACGTCAAATACGTCTGGGGCAGAAAAAGTCGATCCACTGCCAGCCTTGGAATTACGAGACTCCGTGTCTTGGATGGATTCACTCTATCTCCTGCGCACACATCTGGAAATGGAATCGGTCTTGTCAATGACTTCAATTTAAATTGAGACACGGTGTAATGTGCTGCATGCGCTCTGTTAAATACATTTTACATCAAGAATCAATTGACCAGCGAAGTGACAAGGTATTTGAGTGTCCTCGAGCGTAGCCTGCAAGGAGTTATCAGCACTTCGGAACTCTGGAATCCTCATTGGACATCTCGTGAACTCCTGGTGCAAAAGTGTGAGGTTGCTTTTTGGAAGACGGCTTTCCAACCTACTAGAAGCCTCCAACCTAGAAGCAAAGGCCTCCAACCTAATAGCGATGGCCCCCAACCTACTAGGGATGGCCTCCAACCTAAGAGCGATGGCCTCCAACTAAATATTTTTGAAAGACATTTTTCCAAAGGATCTTCTCATCACTTCTCGCCCTCTCTTCCTTGTTATATAGGTTTCTGCATCAAGAAATCCATCGACCACACAGGTTCGGCAGGATCACGCCTGAGAGCATCTCATTTGGTGTGGCGGGCCTTCCAGACTCACTGGAGCGCTGAAGAGCTAGAACAACGGCCAGACTTGCCATACCATCCCAACCACTGCAGACCTCGCCGTTGCTTGAAGGTGTTTGGAGTGGTGACGAGCAGAACATGTCCAAAATACACCAAGATCAAAGAGTCCATGACGGACTAAAGAGGAACAAAGTTAACAAAAGTGAAGGAAGTGGCAAGATCCGTCTGGCAAAGAAAAGCACACCACTTTTAAGCGATTCCACAATAGGTTGAGGATGAAAGGAAGACAGCTTTCAACCAAAGTTGCTGGGGCTTCCTGTCCTGCACAGGCATTCAACAAAAAATAAAGGAGAAGCGCAAGAAAGCAGTCCTTGACATACTCTGGCAAAGTGCACCATTTGCTGCCGTAATGGATCCTGCTTTCAATGGTAAACTAAAGCAAAACTGCCAAACGGCCAACGTTGGCACGCACAGACTCACAAATGTGTTCACCAAAATCGACTCCCCGCGTCACGCCTCAACTTCGACCTAATCATGACATGAACAAAAAGAGTGGGTGATGAACACGTCCCATGGCATCTGCCCTGCATCTATTCAACCCCTGAATTCTTGCAATGATCCAACAATCCTAGCAAATGCTGTCATTGTTGGTTGATGGTGGCGAACTTGTGGTGGTATTAAAGGTTGGTGTTGCCTTTTCTCGTATAATTTGTTTGCATAGTTTTGGCCACCGATTGTTCTCCAAACTCCGAATGTGCCTGGTTGGTTCTTAAGAGTTCTCCTCTCGTTAAGGCGGGCAAACAAGTACAGTGTAAGTTTATATCACACATCAATACAAAGGCATGTGTTCAGTTCAGCTGTCTTTCTTGCATGACCCTTCTCAGGATGCTACTCTTGCCTCTGCCAGAGTCAATGGAGAATCCCAGCCAGGCTCCGTGGTGTTATCATAGGAGAATGAAGAGAGGCTGGGAAAACCCAAAGAACCTCAGAGAAGTAAACAACTAGTAGCGTCCTTGCTCCTAGTAGCGATGCCAGGAGCCCCTAGTAGCCCTTTGTTCCTAGTAGCATGGGTGTGAAGCAAACAACTAGGCCGTGGAGATGTTGTTTTCAGACTGCTAAGTGGCGTTGAGCTCCCAGGAAATGGTAGCAATCGCGGCCAGGGCCAGGCACCTGGTCCATGCCCGTGGCAACCGTGCCAAGAGTTAGGAAAGCATGTTCATGTAAATCTGATTGGGAGTGGAACCTAAGCTAAGAGCGCTGGCCTCCAACCTAAGAGCAATGGCCTCCAAGCTAGTAGCGATTCTGACCTTATAGCACTGGCCTCCAACCTAAGAGCAATGGCCTCCAAGCTAGTAGCGATTCTAACCTTATAGCAATGGCCTCCAACCTAAGAGCAATGGCCTCCAAGCTAGTAGCGATTCCAACCTTATAGCAATGGCCTCCAACCTAATAGCGATTGGGACTGCACATGCGACACATTTCTGCAACATGTCTACCTTTCTTTTGATTGCCATAGGCAGAAGGAACAAATTCCCGGTTGTGAATGCACATGGAACCACTTGCTGACATCCCAACGTTAATGACGAAAACCTAGGACACTTGAAGTCACAAATGCCCAAAGCCAAGGTCGCTGCGGGGGGATACTTTTTGTTCTCGCCCGTGGCAAATTCATAACTCCACGGTGACGGTGCTGCGTCTGTGAAAAGGAGAGTTCCTCAAACAGGCGCAAGGGACAGGCTGAATCCACGAGAGAACTATGCCTCCATACACCGAAACAGTTTCAGCTTTTTTTGGCCGTCAACTTCTTGAATTCCAATGTTGGCGGTAACGTCTGTTTGGGAATGGCATGAAAAAAACAGGTTAGAAAACAATAGTTCCTGATTCGCGGGGGATGTCATGAGAAAATCCAAGGATATCAAACGCTGCATCATTGTTGCATTCATAGACGCACGAATACATACCCGGACATGGAGAAAGAGAAAGCGGCGTGGCCAAGCAGGGGATATAAGGCTGGGACAACGCGGTGAGTGATCAAGGCCGACAACGCGGACAAGCAGGACAGACAGACTCAAAGAAAGCCCTCACAAGGCGCAGAAGAAAGGCCCATGGCACAGCCAAGCAGGACACATTGGACAAGGACCGGACGAGGCCACTAAACTGTTTGGGGAACAAGAGGAGGACACAGGCTTTGCCAGGGTGGCCAGAGGACAACAGGAGGACACCAAGGGGACAAAAGGAGCATACAGGGTTCGCCAGCGCGGACAGGAGGACAACACCCGGCCACAGGGTTCAGGGGCGCGGCCAAAGACATGGCCAGTATCTTTCTTCTTAAGACAGAACCCCAACAGTAAGCTGTTTGAGGAAAAAAGAAGCTCCTAGTTGCGTCCTTGCTCCTAGTAGATCTAGTAGCGATGCCAGGAGCCCCTAGTAGCGATGCCAGGAGCCCCTAGTAGCGCCCTTGCTCCTAGTAGCGATGCCAGGAGCCCCTAGTAGCGTCCTCTTGCTCGTAGTAGCGATGCCCTTTGCTCCTAGTGTGACTGGACCCACTGACTGAGTCTGAACAGTTTCGATGTCTACTCAGGTCCCGCAGGTCCTATGGTGCCTTGGTCGAAGGTCACAATGACAGCACCGGAGTCTTCCACCTCAAGCCAATAGCGATGGCCTACAACCTAATAGCAATGGCCTCCTCTAACCTAGTAGCGATGGATAAGCTCCCAAGTGCATAGGCTTCACAGATCGTTGCTTGCAAATCTTGCAAAAACGACTTTCAACACACTTGACCTCCGCTCCACGGGCAGCATTGCTTGTTGTAGCAAACACACTCGTTATTTCATGGCCGGTGATGTAG